GGTCTGTTGCTGCTGCTGCTGTTGCTGCTGCTGCTGTTGCTGCTGCTGCTGCTGCTGCTGCTAGGGATGCGCTTGTTGCTGGTGCTGCTAAGGGTGCTGCTGCTGCTCAGGATACTCATGCTGCTGCGGCTGCTGCTAGTGTTGCAGATGACGCTGTTGCTGTGGCTGCTTCTGATGAGGTTGTTGCTGCTAGTTTTGTTCTGACTGTTGCTGCTGGTTGCTGCCTAGGATGTTCTTGCTGCTGCTGCTGCTGTTGCTGCTAATGTTGGTATAGCTGTTTCTGTTGCCGCTAAGGGTGCTTTTGTTGCTGCTTCCTCTTAGCCGTTCCTGTTGGCGTTACGGCGTGTGTGCTGCAATATTCTTACTGTTTCTGTTGCTGCGGCTTTGCTGCTGCTGGTGCATCTGCTGCTGCTGCTGGTGCTGTTGTTTGTTTGTTTGAGGTCTTTGTGGGAATGTTGTATGTTTTGATATTTGGGGTGTATAGGGACATTTGACTTCTTGCAAAAGGGTATAAAGAGACTGTCTGAAGTTGGATCAGACGAAATAGCAGAAGAAGAATTCGAGGGAGAGGGGCCTTGGGGAGGGCTGCTGCCAGCGCGTGTAGAAGATGGAGACAGTCAGATGGGCCCCCTAAATGGGGCCTCCTTACTGGGTAGCCCTACGGATGGGCCTTTCAGCGACGACGGAGACAGTGAGGGGCCCCTTACAGATGGATGGTGGGGCCCCATAGGGGGGGCCCCATCCGAGGGGTCTCCTTTAGGGGGGACCCCCTTAAAGGCCTTGGGTACCCAGATTATTGCTGTAGCGAAGAAGGAGGCGCACAGCAACATACGCATCACCGCCAAAGAAGCTATTGAAAAAGGTTTGTTGAGAGCCCGCATGCATTCTTTTGTTTTCATGCATGCACACGAACAAACGAAGGGGCAACAGATCAAAGCAAACACAAACAAAGCGGGGGCGGGGGAGACAAGGAAACAGCAAAATGAAGCAAACACCAATAAAAAAAACGGCTGCAGCAGCAAACAGACGCACGACACTGCATGCAGAAAGGGGTACAGACAGTGGAGAGGCATAGGAGTACAAGCAGTAGCAGCTACTGTTGGAGACAGATGCAAATGAGCAAGAAAAGCAGAGAGACAGGCAGATATTAGGAAGGGCAGCACTATGCAATCCGTCATACAGCACTGACCAACACAAATCCTCCTGCTGCTGTTACGTGCTTGCTGTTGCTGCTCCTGCTGCTGCTGCTGAGTGAGGCTGGCGCTGCTGCAGCAGAGGATGGTGGAATGCGTGTAGTGCCGTGTTTTTGCACCTGCTGCTGCTTCTGCTGCTGCTTCTTCTGCTGCTGCTTCTGCTGCTGCTTTTGCTGCACGTTCTGTTTTGTATATATATTATATATATAATATAATATATATATATATATATATTTGTGCGTGTGTTGGAAGGTCTGGTGGAGATGGTTATAAACGTGCCAGGGCAGACAAACCACCGAGCGATATCTTCGGGGTACCGCATTAGAAGGGCTGCAATAGACTCGGGGGGTGAGTATGTTTTTATTTTTGGTTTTTGTTTATTGTTGTTTATGTTTACTTTGCTTCTTCTGTTATGTTCTGCGGACTGCTGCGGTAGTAATGAGACCCAGGGCCTCAGCAACGGGTCTTGTACAGTGGAAAGTATGAAGAAAATAATTAAGGGTTTAGGGTTTAGGGCTTAGGGTTTGTTAATCTAGAACAAACGTCTGCAGGGAATGGAAGGCCCGGAGACAGCGTGGGAGACAGACAGGGATAGAGTAAATATAGTATAGGGCTTAGGGTTTTGTTTGTTCTCTCATACAAAGAGGGAAGACCCTTTTGAGTGCTTTGTTTGTTCTTTGTTTCTGTTGTCAGTGCCTCTTCTAACCGACTTAAAAGTTGCTGCTCTTTTCGTTGAAAGCATTGCAAAGAAAATATACCGTGAACAAGAACACCAGCGCTTCTGGGAGGTTCGTGCCTGGGATGAGTATTAGCCTTGACCTCCTCTTGGAAATACAATTAACGCATGCACGCCTGTATGCATGCATGCGTTGATTGTATGCATGCATGCATGCATGCATGCATGCATAGCCAGCGCTTCTAGGAGGTTCATACCGGGGAGTATTATCAGCCTTGACCTCCTCCTCTTCTCGGAAATGCAACCAACGCATGCATGCATGCGTGCGTTGATTGTAGGCGCATGCATGAGTCTGTGCATGCCCGGGTTGAGGAAATGCATTTGTGGATTTATACATGTTTCAGTGGGGCTGGCTGCGTTTGCTTGACGAACCCCGCTTAAGGACGGATTGTATGTGCTGGTGGTGGTGTACATACACCTCTAATTGCCGCGGTGTGCCCACCTGTACGTACAGCAGGAGGTCTGTGGGATCAAGTGGACTTCAGCAAACGCGTCTACTGCATTCGCATGAGTAGACATACCAATGCATGTTGGCGCTGACGTTCAAGCAGCGCTTTAGACTATATATATA